CTAGCCCAGGCGCTTTGCATAAACAAAGAGAGGAGGAGGGACGATCAGGGCACCGCCCCCGACCCGCCCGTGCCCGGACCCCGCGCCAGGCGCATCTCCAAGTCCCCCGCGCGGCCCGCCAGTCCGCGGCCCCTTACCTTGGCCTGGCATTTCCGATGACAGGAGAAGCTGCAAGCTACAAGGGGCGAGACAGAAAGAAAGTTTTAGCCTCGAGGTATGAAATGGAAACTCCGGCGAAATCTCCTCCCACTCCGCCCGCGATCGGCGCTCGGAGGGAAGGAGGAAAGGAGGGAAAGAAGGAAGGAGGGAGGGAGAAAGGCGGAGGGAGGGAGGAAGGGGGCGGAGGGGAGCGGCTGCCGGGGGCCTGCGGACCCTCAGGGCGCGCGGGGAAATGAGAGGCTCGGGGAGCACAGGGGCCGCCCCCACTGGAGCCCCGCCAAGGGCAGAGGTAGCCGGGACCCAGCTCCTTGCCTGCCCCGCCAAACAACTGAGAGGCCTTCTCCGGACCACACCGCGGGAAGGCTGCAGACAGCACCCGCGGACCTCTGCACGAGACAGCGCGCCCCTGTGTGCGAGACACACACACACACACACACACACACACACACACACTCACCAAGGACCTCTCCCCCAGACACAGCCGGGTACACAGAGATGACAAGGAGACCCCTTGACCCAGGCCGCCAAAACACACCATTTCATGAGAGACCTTTGGAGTCCAGCCTGACACAGACACCCAGACAGACGCGCACACAAACTCCATGTGCTGTGGGCGCGCGTGCGCGCGCGCACACACACGCACACACTCACAATCACTCAAAACTTGCTCCCTCCTCCCACCACCAGAAGCTGGAATCAAATTTCCTATCAGGTTCCCAAAGCCTGGAATGTCCCCAGCCCAGCCGCTCCACCCCCAAGGCCCTGGAACTTTTCGGAGGCATCTGGCTGCAGCTCTTCCCTCCCCACCCCCACCCATCCTGTCCAAGCCCATCTTGTCTTGGAGTAAGGAGGTCTCGGGGATGGTTTCTGTGCAAATTTGGGTCTTGGTGGCTGTCCAGGGTCTGCAGAGGTTAGTGGGTCAGGCATTGATGAGAGAACCTGGACTGGAAAGAATGGGAGCCACCCTGACCCCCAGACCTTAACAGCCCCAGCCCAGGACAGTGGCCTGCTTGCTCCTTCTGCCCATCTACAGCACCTCACCCCACCCAGATTCCAGCTGACTTGATCTCACCAGAGACTTGCAGGGAGATGAGGGTGCAGATTCAGGCTGGAGCAGCCTCAGGGCTCCAGGTACCCACGCTAAGCCTCACTGACCCCAAAAGTGCAGGTGGGGAGATGCAGCAGGCAAACTGAGGGAAGAATGGGATATGACCTTCACCACTGCCAAGCTTAAGACCTTCTCTCAGGACCTTGTATTGGCCCACTTGGGTCTATGACTCAGCCAGTGATGAGCAAGGCTTTCCTGACCCCAGTAGCCAACCATCCCACTCAGGGACACCACCCTCTCGGCACCAGGACATGCTCCTGAGCCCTCAGTCATACCCAGCCAGCCAGCCTTTGTGTCTCTCCCACTGGCCTGGCGCCCCACCCTAGGTGGCAACTCCCTCTATTCCAGAAGTGTTTCCCTCTCTGCCCCCCCACCCTCGCCTTCTTTGGCTCCAGAGAACATGGCTCCAGTCTACAGAAATTTCTCTGTTGCCATCTTGGTTCCTACCTTCTTTCAAGTAAGGATGTCTCTCTCTCTCTCTCTCTCTCTCTCTTTCTCTCTCTCTCTCCCCCCCGTGTGTGTGTGTGTGTGTGTGTGTGTGTGTGTGTTTCTCCGAGTAGTGCCTGATACACAGCAGAGGCTCAATAACTATGTGCCCAGTTGAACCTGACAAGATCTCCCCTAAAGTTTATATGTACATCATTGCATCATCTTGCTCTCAGCCTGTTCCTAAGCTATAACCCCCGCAATATCCCATATTAAACCAAAAAGACATTCCTAAGTGTCCACCCTGGAACCTTAACACCAGGCTAGACATCACAGGCACTATGGCAGTTGGAGCTGTTTTCCTCCTCCAGTGTACCTTTCTTATAGCAGGTTAACTCCCCACCTGACTCAAGAGCCTAGGGAGCATGGCCTAAGGCATTCATACCATATGGCAGAAGCCAGGACAGTATCTGCTTCAGGCCCAGAGACCACAGACCACAAAGTATTTTTGTGCAAGTTAGAAGAAAGGCTTCCTTCAGTAGACCAGCTCCATGAGCCACAGCGGGACAAGTGTGCACTGCTTGTGGGAATGGGGGAAGCTGCCCCCTCTACGGGCAGACCCAACCCTGTGCCGAGAAGCATGGCTTGGTGAGCACTGCATGGGCTGCTTACTGTGCTCTATTGGGAAGGCACCCGGTGGCTTACAGGACCATACAAGGCATCCCTGCCTGTCACACAGTAGGCAGACACTCAGCACCCACCTATGAGTGGAGGGCAAATGGAGATGTCCCTAAGCAATTGCAGTACAAGGTGCTGAGTGCTCCCACTTGCCCTTGGCAGCAGCATGGTGGGGAACAGGGGAAGAGGATTCAGCCTCACACACTGAACACAGGTGACAGGTCCCAGCAGACCAGGTATGACCACTCCCACCGAAGCGTCTGCCCTCAGCTGAGGCCTCTTGCTGAGTCCCCTCCCGAGAAAGCCCCTTTCCAATCTTGGTCACCTTGCCCAGGCTTTCAAGGGGCAACATTTTTGCTCTGACTCGCACTCCAGATTAGTGACAGTCAGTGCACTACAGAAAGGGAAACCAAGGCAGCCAGCCCCTGAGGTGTGTCCCTGCCTGTCGCCTCTCCCACATTGAGGGCCTCATTCACCAGCAGTGCTACGGTCTGAATCAGGATGTCCCCCCAAAGCCCACATGCACAAGACTTGGCCCTGAGCCCACGGTGCCACTAGGAGTGGTGCAATCCTTAGGAGGTAGGGCCTGGTAGGAAGAAGTTAGGTCATTGGGGGTGTGTCCTTGAAAGGGACACTGGGACCTTGGCCCCTTCTTGTGTCTCTCTCCAGGCCTCCTCTGCCATGTACATCATCTGCAGTATACTGTTCCACTACAGACCCAGAGAAACAGGGCTGAATGCCCAGGGGCTGAAACCATGGGCCAGGATAACCCTTTCCTCCTTTAAGTTAATTTTTCTTGGGTACTTTTGTCACAGTGATAAAAATCTAACAGAATCAGATGCTACAGAAATGACAGTGTGTGGCTTCTGAGACATAGCCCTGAAAGGCATTGTGACTTCAGCTCTAGTCTCATGGAGCACTCATCCTGGGGGAAGCCAGGCACCATATTGTGGGAAACTAGCAGCTCTGCAGAGGGCCCTGTGGTGAGGAGCTGAGGTCCCTGCACCAGCCAGCTCCCACTCGCCACTCGGGCATAGACATGCCCTTCAACACCAATCTGGCCTTCAGATAGTGCAGCCCTGACTAACATCTTGACTCAGCTTCTTAGGAGACCTTGAGCCAGAAGCACCCCGCTGACTCTCAGAAACCATGTGGAATACGCCAGGCATGGTGGCACATGCCTGTCATCCTAGCTACTCAAAAGGCTGAAGCAAGAGGATAGTGAGTTTGAGGCCAGCCTGGGCAATTTAGCGAGACCTTGTCTCAAAATCTCAAAATAAAAATAGGTTAGGAAGGGGCAGGGGAGATAGCTCAGTAGGATAAGCGCTTGACTGGCAAACTCAAGGATCTGAGTTCAATCCCTGGTTCCGCAAAAAAAAAAAAAAAAGGTTAGGGGTGTAGCTCAAAGTTCCCCAGTACAGGGTGGTGGAATTGCTATGTGTGATGACAAGTCAGCATTTGTTTCAAACAACTAAGCCTAAGGGTCATTTTTCACACAGCAGTAGATAAGTGATACGCAGAACAGGACACAAGGTCCCTTAAGTAGCAAAGGATCAGCAGCTGGAGGATGCTGAGACTAAGACCAAAGACATCCTCCCAGCCCTGCTCTTAACTCCTCTCCTTTCCTCACACTACCATTAATCATCATGTCCCAAGCAAGTAACTTTTTCTGCGCAGTTCCCAACTGTGTACCAGTTCACACTGGTGATTCTTTTCTGGCCTAGTCTCCCCACCAGTCTTGTCTCCCTGTGTCATCAATTTCTGATAGCTGAGACACAATAGTCAACACCTAAGAAGTAAAAGAGGAAAGGTTTATTTCGGTTCACATTTACAGCTCATGGTAGGCTGGCTTCCAGGTAGGTCAGCATTGCCAATGAGAGCTGCTAATGGCTAGGTAGGCAGGAGGCAGAGAGACCTCATTCAAGGGGGAATCCCAAGAGAGATAAACTCTTGCAGGCCACACCCCCAGGGACCTGCCTCTTCTAACCAGGGTCTCACCTTCTACTAAGAAGTCAGCTATGAGCTTCTCTAATAGTCCCACCTATAAGTGCGTGAGCCTTTTGGGGAACACCATCTAGATACAAACCATAACATTCCACCCCAAAAAACTCATGTGCCTCCCTTTATACAAAATGCATTTGTCTATCACTCAGAATCTGCAAAGTCCTAACAGTTCCTACGTTGCCAAAAAGTCCAAGTCCAAAGTCTAAGACTCAAAGCAAACTTAGCTGTGAGCCACTGTAAAACTCAAAAAGAAAATTAAACACTGCCAACATATAATGATACAGGGTAAACATTCCTCTTCCAATAGGGAGAAATAGGCGGCTAGAGAACAATGGGACCAAAGAAGACCAAAACCCAATGGGGCAAACATTAAATCTTGTAGACCCACGTCCCGCAAGCTGCGGTGAGACCCACTCTCTCAGGGACTTGGGCAGCCCTGTCTCTATGGCATTACCAGTAACTGTAGCCCTCACAACTTCTCTGCTGGGCTGGATTTGCTCACTCTTTGTGACTTTGCTTGCATGCTTCATGTTACCAGCTTCTCCAGCTTCCTGGGCTCTCCACTGCACTGCCAGCTTCACCTCCACAGCTTTATACCCTTCCCTCTCAGGGCACACTGCCTGGCCTCCCAACCCTTCTCCTTAAATCTAAGTGGAAGCTTTTCTGATCCAACAACGCCTGCATTCTGCATGTACCTAAAACCAGCACCATGTGGATGGTACCAGGTTCTGCTGCCCCTCGAGCACTAACCAGAGCCCCTTGAATTGTGGCGGCACTGGCTTCTGAGTGCCTGGATGGCT